GAAGCTTTTAAAGGGTTTTTCTGCAGTTATGTTTCACACAGCTTTTGTGCTTTCTCTCGCTGCTTTCAGATTGGTATAGTAGGTCGCACAGGAGCTGGGAAATCAAGCCTGACAAACTGCTTGTTTCGAATCATTGAAGCAGCTGAAGGATGTATACTCATCGACGATATAGATATCTCCCAAATCGGACTGCATGACCTAAGAAACAGGATCACGATCATACCTCAGGTGCACACTAAAGACAAAACGGTACTACAGGTTCAACATTCACGTGGTTCCTAACATATCTGACACTGTGAGTGCAGGATCCAGTTTTGTTTTCGGGGACGCTGAGGATGAACTTGGATCCATTTGACAAATTCAGTGATGAGGAGATCTGGAGGGTGCTCGAGCTCTCGCATCTGAAGAACTATGTAGCAGGGTTGCATGAAGGATTACAGCATGAAGTTGCAGAGGGGGGAGAGAACCTCAGGTGGGCAAGTCAACCAGTCCTAACACGTGTCCTATTGTGATTATTTTAATTTCTGAATAAATCAAAAAATGGTTTAAACCAACATCACTGTCTTCCCTCAGTGTTGGGCAGAGGCAGCTGCTGTGTCTGGCTCGAGCCCTGCTCAGAAAGTCTCGCATCCTGATCCTGGATGAGGCCACAGCAGCCGTAGACCTGGAGACGGACAACTTGATTCAGAATACGATTCGTAAAGAGTTCTCGCACTGCACTGTCCTCACCATCGCCCACCGCTTACACAGCATCATGGACAGCTCCAGGTCAGTCGGTGTTTCTCCCCAGTCTGGAGATTAATCTAGAAATTAATCATTTTCTCAACCTTTACTCCAGCCCAGTTAATATGCCAACCGGTGTTTCTCCTCCACAGGGTGATGGTTCTTGATGCGGGAAAAATTGTGGAGTTTGATTCTCCAAGCAGTCTGCTGGAAAAGCAAGGCATTTTTTACGCCATGGCAAAGGATGCTGGGATAAAACAAGAAACTGTGACGTCGCTTTAATTATGTGTGTTTGTATTTTTTGTTATCATGATTTGATACATTGCATTATTTTTTGTTTGTGTGTCACTTAAAAACATTGAATATTCATTGCAGTATGTGTGTATTTATAGGAAGCATCATAAAGGAATTATTCTGTACATGTATATAAATTTTATATGTGAACAATAAATGTTCTTTGTGTGAACCAGTTTGCATGAATCTGGGTTTTTTTGTTGTTTTTTTTTTAGTTTCACATGCTCAAGGTTCAAGTTCAAGTCTCTTTATTGTCATTCACATCACGTTATACATGAGGTGGAACAAAGTTGTGTACTTAAGGTCTCAGTTACACCAAAAAGTAGCAAAAATATAAAGTATAAAAAGAAACTGTGTATAAGGATCTAAGATATACACTAAGATATGCGCTAAATGATACTCTAAAATATCTAAGATATACAAGCTAATATTAGCTAAACACTAATAATGTAAAATAATACAGTATATTAAACAGCAGCCGTACATGAATCTCCAGTGAGCAGATGGGTATGAATGAATGAATACAGCAACATAAAGGCAAGAGATCAGCAGCATGGATAATAAGCAGCACAGACATCACATATCACCAATTAAAGTGCTCTAGTTTTGATGACAAGTGTTTTGTTTTATGACTGCCATGACATTTGAAATTGGTTTGTCTTGAAACATGAGGGAGAAAAATTTGTCTCTTAACATTTTATTGTTTAAAAAAAAAAGCCTAATTGCTTAAATGCATGATAAAATTTTATATCCACTGCCTCAGTGTTGTAACTTGTAAATAGTGCTACAACTTCAGTTGTTTTTTGTTAGTTTTGATGGCCTAGTGGGCAGGGTCTAATTTGTAAACCAATTGATGCCAATAGCATATAGCGATAATAATGGGCAGGCTGGCTTGGGGGCGGGTCTGATTCTTCTCCGCTGAATTCACTGTCCGACTCCACATGTGAAACCTCCAGGCTCCTCCTCCATCTGTTCATGGCGGCTGTGGGCTCCTCCTGCCTGGTTAGCTCGGCACTCATCCCCACCTCTTTTTTAGGGGCGGAGATTTTTTAAGAGTAGAAGCGGAAATGCTTACTTGAAGAGGCAGCTCGTATGTGATAATAATAAGTCGTAAGTGTCTGTTGTGTTTAAAATTAGTGTTTATGTAATTATTTTCAGTTTACATATCCAATAAAAGTTTTACTCGTTAGTCATATTTGTTCATAACTTTATTATTAATAAGCCTGAGAGTTACCTAATCCAAGCAAACAGTTAACGAGAAGCACCCTGTCAAAATTGAGTTCTCAGATCCTGTTATGGCAGGATCCAGCTCAAATTAAGCCTGGGTAGTGGGTATTTAGAGATCCTCAGATCATGGGCTCAGGGTTTCGCTCACCAGGCTGTGTTCTTGAGCAAGACACTACTCCCACTGCCCACCGATATGCTTAGCAATGTGTAGTGAGACTATATCAAAAAGTGTTCTATACAGTGTATAAAAACATACATGAAAGCATGACATGACTGTCAACGAGGAAGAGGGCCGGACCAGAGGAGGGGGCGTGCCAAAGACACCATCTTAGCACCAACATAACTGGTTTGTTCCACTTTGGAGTATGCTGTTTACGGGAGAAATCAGTTTTGTGTTGTGTTTCCTTGACTGATGAAGCCTTCCGGATAGAAGGTGAAACGTTTCAGAAAAAAAAGAAAGAAAGAAACTGTCCAGATGAACTGACTGAAAAATGTTGGATTGTATACCTGGATTATTGAGCATGGACTTTTTTTTTTGTTTTTTTGATACATGAAAGCAGTGTATGAATGAGTGAATGAGAAAGTGCTTTGCAAAATAAACCATTTACCTTCTTTTTAAAAACATTCCTCTGATAAACAATACAAGTCTTACTGGAGGCCTGGTATTCAACATGTTTTATAGTGACCTTCATACCACAGCAGGATAAACATTTTAGAACAGATTTCACACAGTTAAAGCTGCTTTGTTAAAAAGGTTTTCATCAGCGGGAAGCTCTTCTTAAAACAATTATCTTCCTGATGGGCTGCTGCCTCAACGCTTTATACAATAGGCTCGGGGGAAAAAAGCTTGTAACATTGTAATGGGTCAATTTTATTGCTATAGAGACAAGTGAAGACACAATATTTCAAAACCTTCTCAAGGACGTAATGAAGCACTTCCTGTCATTTAATCATCTGGTGAGAATTTAGATGCTAATGCTTTGTTCAAAATCTGTTAATCAAACAAGGAGTGATTATACTTTGGAATAAGCGTTATCTAATTCTTATCATTCCCTGCATTATAGTCAGCTATAAGTCAGATGAGTTATGTGTTTATGTGTTTGTATGTCTGTTAGCAAAATATCTCATGATATATGATAGAATAGATACATGACAGATTTGGGTCTGGAAGTAATTTTATAGCTGATTGTTTTTTTGTTTTTTTGGTGGCAAACCACTTTACAGGTACATGTAAAAAAATTGAGTGTTGTGGAAAAACATGACAAATGTCACTCGTTTCAGAAAGTGCAACTCATACATTACATAGATTCATAATGAAATATTTTAAGCCTTTATTTATTATCATTTTGATGATTACAGCTTACAAATAATCAACAACAACAAAAAATAAAAACTCAGTGTCTCATAAAAATAGAATATTCCACAGCCAGCTTTTGGTACCTTTGTCAGTGTGGGCAGGAGACAAGTCCTGCTGGAAGATGAACTCAGCATCTCCATAAAGCTCGTCAGCAGAAGGAAGCAAAAAGTCTCTAAAATGTCCTGTAGATGTGGACTTCAGAAAACACAGTGGACTAACAACAGCTGAGGACATGGCACCAAACCATCACTGATTCACTCTGGACTTTGAGCAACATGGATTCTGTTCCTCCCCACTCTTCCTCCAAACTTTGGGACCTTGATGTCCAAATGACATGAAAATTGACTTTAATCTGACAAGAGGACGATGGACCACTGAGCAACAGTCCAGTTTTTTTTTCTTGCAGGCATGGCTTAGTTACCATGGTAACTGAGAGAGCAGCTCTGATTTACAACAGGTAAAGATTATTTCTCATCAGCTGTTATTACTTGGGCACGGTGGAAATTTGCAGATGGTGTAAGGGCAGGGGAGCCATAATTTGACCTTTTGAAAGTTATTTTTGAGTCGTGGGTTTTGTTATGTAATGACGACAGCTTCTACAAATATGAGTTGTTGCTATTGAAGTTACCAAATTCTCGTTTTGTCTTCAGTATTTTTATGAAGGCTTTAGAATTTTTACCTTTTAATGTTTTATGTGGCTTCTCTCTCTACTGGCCCACCGCTCTTGGTAGATTTACACGTCTTCCACTTTTTGATGATGGATTTGTATTCATCCCCTGACTTGTAGTTTTTGTTTATATTTTCTCTGGGTATATAAAGGATAATCCCTTAAAAGGGGATCATGCTTTTCCAATCAGTTATTTTACATCACATATTGATATTACTCTGTAGAAATTTGGGTTCACTTTGTCATTGAAAGATTGAAAAAAAAAAGTTTTTTGTAAAGAAGGTCAATTATTATCACAACTAATTTATATTAGCACTGACAAGGGTAAAAAAATCTAAGGCTGTGAATATTTTTATGCATTATATATATATATATA